CAGGGCAGAGGAGGGCACTATGTGGTGAGTATCTAGGGGACAGGGCCATGATGGGGCAAGGATATGGAGTGTGGGGCTGGCCCCTCATTCAGATGAATTCACATTCTGCCACGGGAGATGGGTTTCAAAGTCTGTGCCTCACGGACCAGTCCCCAAACGGAGTCACAGAGTAAGACTCCTGCCTGACCTTGAAGGCCCCTGTGGTCATCTTGGCATGACAGGGAAAGACCCCATCAGAAGCAGAGGATCTATAATCATGGAGGGGCCAGTCTTGGAAGTAGCTGGGACAGTAGATGGAGACCACCATGGTCAGGGGGCAAGAGGGGACTTAGCTGTGAAACCCCAGAGACCCGTGGTTCCCCAGAGGGGAAAAAGCACCAAGATACTGGGTCCCTAAGGCCTGGAGCCAGAACCCCCTCCGACACAGCATCCTGGGGGTCTGGTCCCTGGGGAAGGGCCGGGGTAGGATCTGCTTGCTGAGCAGGGCTGCTCTCGGCCATCCTGGCTCCGGGCACTTGCTCCCAAAGCTGGTCTGCATTTACTGCTGCAGAGCTGACCCACTGCCTGCGTGCCTGCCTGTGGTAGGACCCCAGACCCCCTCCCATCGGGACCGCATGTGCCTCCTTCCTGGACATGACTGATGGATGGGCTGAGTGACCTGCGGTTGCCCCTGGAGCACATACAGAAGCAGCCAAGTGCTCACTGCTCCCACTCAGGGGTGGGGCAGGCCAGTTGGGAGAGATGGTGGCACCCAGCTGCGAGTACCCCTTCTTCCTGCCAGCCCTGGGTCCCATCCCCTCACCTGGTACAGGTAGGTGGAGGCAGAGGTGGGGAAGGTGTGCTGTGTGCAGGAGGTGGGCTTTCTGTGGGCCCCTTCCCAGCTCTGGGCCTCTCCAAACTTCTCTGAGAAGCTTTTGGTCCCCTTTCCCCAGGGAGAACTTGAAGTCTGTGGCTTTAGGGTCCAAGTTGGGCAGCTGAGACTCTATGACCCATGACCAGTTGCCTAAGGCGGTGGAAATAACCCACCACCCCAAGTTCAACTAGAGCTTGTCTGCCTGGGGGGGATGTGGACATCACCTTGCAGGAACCGGAGGGGCACCTGTATTGTTCTCCGAGCAGGCAGCCGTGTCATCCTCCCATCTGGCGCACTTAGAGCCCTTCCTGGGACAGTGTACTGGGTGACCAGCTGGGGTAACATCGCAAAAATTGCAAGTATGATGGAGACTTGGGGAAACATCACTAGGGAGTGATGAGGGCTGGCTGACTGGGGTTCTACAGAAAGTGGCTTACTCTATGAACCTCTGGGGTCCCACTGAACCTGCACCTCAAAGGTGTGGTGTAGAGGCAGGATACATGTGGCTGGACTGCTGGCCTGACCTTGGTGCCCCAAGGGGAAGGGCCCCAAGGAGAAGGGTCCTGCGTATATGTTTCTGATTGGATGTGAGAATGAGGGCACTCTGAAGGTAGCCCTTGGCTCAGGGACTGTGTGGATCCTGAGAACTCCCACCCCCTGCTTCTACTGTCTGCTGTGTTGCCTCAGGAAAGTACCTTCCCCTACCCCCTCCCCACTGTCCCCAGTCTCCCTATTAACACAAGTGTTATCAAACTCAAGGGATTTGCCATTTGGGGTGTTCTATTCAAGAATGAGACGTGGTTGTTATTAGGTAGTTTTATTTACTTGCAGCAAGTAAAGCGTACAGGATTCACATTCAAAAGTCTGCCTTCTGGAAAGAAGGCGTAGCCATTGCTCATATACAACATGTGGCTAGTCACACATTGATTTCTTCTTTGCAGTTGGCTACACTTTTCTGGTTGGGTTCCTGTCAAGCTCATCCTGTTTACAGCTGTGTCTGCAAAAATAGGCTGCTACATCTTACCATGTAGCAAGGACATGATTTAGTAAGAACTGCCCAGACCTTCAGACCCTTTTCCTACTTAACAATTCCTCCTGAGATTTTTCACTTTTCATTCTTGAGGGGCTGGGGACAAGAGTTGTACTTCTGTAACTGCTTCCTGCCGAACATGGTCAAAATACAACTTTGAGTTGCAGGAAAGTCTTAGGGTTTGCTAGGTTCTGGGATCCCTAAGGACAGGAGAGCATGACCAGAGCACCCCATAACAGGTGACACATGCCACAAGGGGTGAGACAGCAACAGGGGAAACATCAAGGAGACTGAGACCCTGCCACTCACGAACTCACATTCTGGTGCGGATCTCACAAGCGAGATGGCCCACAGTGACAGCCTCCCCAAGGACAGAGTCCAAGCCTTTCAGAACTGAGCCCACTAAGGCAGGGAAAGGAGAAGGTGCTGTCATGTTAGAGTCTTCTTCCCGGGTGATCCGGACATCAGCCATGACTTTTATTCAGGAATCACCTACTGCTCTTCTAAGGTGTAGGTGTGTCTATCTGGGACTTTGAAGAACAGCTGGGATCTGGACAGGAAGTGACTGTGCAGAAAGGGGAGTCCAGTGGATGAAGAACAGCAATCCTAACAGGGGATGGGATATCAGGAATGACAGTTCTGCCTCCTCAGGTTATTTGCATTAGCTACAAGAAACTTGTTCATGACCCTGACTTACAAGTTTCCACGATAGATGGCTTGACCAAGGTCCACATTTGGACAAATGAGAGGTTTCAGTGCATTATATCCAGTTGGTGCCCCACGGTTTCTGAGGCACAGTGATACTTCTCCTGCGGCTGAGTGAAGGCTATCCCTCATAAGACACCTTGGAGCACGTGGTGAGGAAATTCCTACGGAAGACGGCTCGGGAGGAAGTCCCTCAGCATCTGCTTTCCTGGGACAATGCACTGCAGAGAAGGCCCTGTGAGGGCAGGAGGCACTCCCAGCAAACACAGTCTGTGTGTATATGTGCATACATGTGTGCGCGCATGCGCACACACACACACAGGAGGAGGGTACATCCATCCTGTTAGGCACCATCTGCTAGTTAGCCAGCTGCACAGCTGCAGCTCAGAGACTACCATGCTTCCGAAAATCAGGATACAGGGAAAAACCACCACTCACTTGCTGCCTCTTTGTCCCCAAATCCATTGCACAGTAGGGGCTGGGATGAGGCTTGAGGTAAGCAGATGCCCGGTGTAGGGAACTGGTTTGATTTGGTCTAGCAAATGTGACTCAGTTCTGTATGGAAAACCTACAGAAGTGAGGTGGTGGGCAGGATCCAGACCTTCAAACCGAGTTTTCCCATGAGAATCAGGCCTAGAAAATGCATACAGACTGTTATGGCTTGCTCTTGCCAAAAATTCCTCACCCTGGTCTGAAACAGTAGAAGTGTATGTCTATCTTCCAGGTAATTTCCAAGCCTGTGTGAGTTTTCCCAAGGACAGAGCTAATCAGCTCACTGCCTTTCCCTTCAGCATGTGTTACTTTCATTTCCTTGATTGCACCTAAACTATAGACAGTAATATTCTGCATGTAATAGATAATAAATCCTTCTTTGATGTAAAACCCGAGAAAAACAACAAAAGCCTGTCCAGGCAAGGGTCGGGGTGCTCTCCCCTTGAGAGAGTGGCCGTGCCGTCCCCCTTTTCTCCACAGGGTTGCTGTAGCCTGTGCATTCATTCTTGTCGTCAGTCACAACAGGCAGACTCTGCTGGCCAGAGTCTGCCGCACCCCGGGGGTCTATAAAACCCGCAGGTTCCATCTTTCACAGACTGTGGCTCCTCCACCTTCTGTCCCCAGTTTGGAACATTAGGAGCTCCAGACTGAACGTGAAGACAGGAAACAGCTGTGGGCAGAGGCTGCTGAAACCAGAATGAAGCAGGAGGGAAAAGTAAGGAGAGTCAGTGATGCCATGAGGGGCTACTCACTCCTGCACGCCCAGCCTCACCTCTTCTCTCCAGCCACAGATGCCCACACTGGCAGAGTCACCTCTGACCCAGTCCCAGGCCCAAGCTCCCCTCAGGCCTCTGGCTTCTGCACTCCTAGAGAAGATGGTTCAGAAGTGCCCCCAGGGCTTGTCCCCATGTCTCTGTGAGAGGCAGAGGACAGGCCCAGGATGCCCGGTTTACCAGCTTGGTTTATCTGCCACCATTCAGAGCCAGTCTGCTGGGTGGCGTGGTCTCCCGCACCTGTCTCCCAGTTCACACTCAGCAGTGCTGCGCTGTTTCTGAACCTCCGTGGCTGCCGCTGACTGTGAGGAAGCATTGGGTTGCTCCACCGTGCTGCTTCCACGGCAGGGCAAGTGCCCAGTCAGCCTGCTCCACTGACAGTCAGCAGACTCCCACAGCTAGCGGGGCTTATGTCCTGGCTAAGTGGGGCCACTCCCCAAGGAGGGGACAAGCTTACAAGTACCTGGTCTTCCCTGTGGATGCAGAGAGTGAGCTCTCTCACCTCAACCTGCCCCACCCCCAGCCCCTACAGGTTTGGAGGAGAGAAAGGGGGCTAATGGGCTGCTGTTCAGGGAAGAAGCTGAGGTCTCACGACTCTTCTTGGCTTGACTGGGCTCTGACACGAGGGGAGGCAGGACGCCACTGCTGCCCAGACGCGGTGACCCCGGAACCACTCTTGCAGATGTGTGTTCCTTCATATGAATGAACATCGGTCCCGTCAATGACTTTTTAAGACCACTCTAAAAGTCTTCACGAATTTTTCCATCACACTAAAAGTAATTCATTTCCCTGTGTCATTTCCAACTTTCTCCCATGCCATGTGGCCAGGAAGCCCAACCTTTTGCCTTCTGTTGCCCAAAATGTACACACATGTGCTTGATGCTACCTGCTACCGTCTGCAAGTCCAACAAGGCTGACTCAGACTACATTTTTAAGTCACAGCAGATTTTTTTTTCTTTTCCTGGCACCGCTATGTGGCCTCCGTTACCACACCTTTAGTAAAATTTTTGAAATCACACCTGCTAGTAGAACATCTTTTAATATCAATCAGTGTCTTTGAAGAGATGTGGCATGCAATTTTTTTATACTTACTCTTCAAAGGAAGAGAACAGTGGGAGTCTTATTCAGACAGCTGGCAGCACGCAACCCGAGAGAGCAGAGGAGCTGCACTTGGAAAACAACGCCTCCTGAACCCACAACAGACGTCTCCCAGCGTGGAGCAAGGCGCCTTGAACAAGACAGGTAGTTTTCCACCATTGACACATTTGTTATATTTCCTAATTTATATGAGTGCTTAATTTCTTTTTCTAAAAATATATTTTATTGATTATGCTATTACAGTTGTCCCATTTCCCTCTTCATTCCCCTCCACCCTGCACGCCCTCTCCCACCCACATACCCCCCTTTAGTTCATGTCCATGTGTCTCAAGTTCTTTAGCTTCCACATTTCCCATACTATTCTTGCCCTCCCCCTGTCTATTTTCTACCTACCATCTATGCTACTTATTCTCTGTACCTTCTCCCCCTCTCCTCCTCCCACTCCCCTGCTGCTAACCCTCCATGTGGTCTCCATTTCTGTGGTTCTGTTCCTGTTCTAGTTGTTTGCTTAGTTTGTTTTTGTTTTAGGTGTGATTGTTAATAATTGTGAGTCTGCTGTCATTTTACTATACATGTTTTTTATCTTCTTTTTCCCAGATAAGTCCCTTTAACATTTCATATAATAAGGGCTTGGTGGGGATGAACTCCTTGAATTTGACCTTATCTGAGAAGCACTTTATCTGTCCTTCCATTCTAAATGAAAGCTTTGCTGGACAGAGCAATCTTGGATGTAGGTCTTTGGATTTCATGACTTGGAATACCTCTTTCCAGCCCCTTCTTGCCTGTAAGGTCTCTTTTGAGAAATCAGCTGACAGTCTGATGGGAACTCCTTTGTAGGTGACTGTCCCCTTATCTCTTGCTGCTTCTAGGATTCTCTCCTTCATTTTAATCTTGGTTAATGTAATGATGATGTGCCTTGGTGTGTTCCTTCTTGGGTCCATCTTCTTTGGGACTCTCTGAGCTTCCTGGATTTCCTGGAAGTCCATTGCCTTTGCCAGATTGTGGGAGTTCTCCTTTATTATTTATTGAAATAAGTTTTCCACTTGTTGCTCTTCCTCTTCTCCTTCTGGTACTCCTATAATTCGGATGTTGGAACATTTAAAGATGTCCTGGAGGTTCCTAAGCCTTTCCTCATTTTTTTGAATTTTTGTTTCTTCATTCTTTTCCGTTTGGTTGTTCCTTTCTTCCTTCTGGTTCACTCCATTGATTTGAGCCCCAGTTTTCTTCCCATCACTATTGGTTTCCTGTGCATTTTCCTTCATTTCACTTAGCGTAGCCTTCATTTTTTTAATCTAATTTGCAACCGAATTCAACCAATTCTGTGAGCATCTTGATCACCAGTGCTTTGAACTGTGCACCTGATAGATTGGCTATATCTTGGTTGCTTAGTTGTATTATTTCTTGAGTTTTGATCTGTTCTTCTGTTTCAGCTTTTTTTTTTTTTTTTTTTTTTTTTTATGTATGAGGGGTGGAGCCTTAGATGTTCACCAGGGTGAGGCAACCCAGTTGCTGGGTTGTGATGCTGTATGTGGGGGCGGAGTCGGAGAGGGAACAATGGTGCTTGCTCCACTCTGTCAGACCTCAGTCCCTTCTGCTGCTTCCCCCAAGCAAACTGGGCCCCTCTGATGGTGGTTCCCAGGTGGGTAGGCTTGTGTATGTTCTAGGACCCTGTGGGTCTCTGCAAGAGAGAGAGAGAGTTCTCCACAAGAACTCTCCTGTGAGGCTGGGAGTCTCTCCCTGTGTGTTAACCCCCCCCATAGGTGTTTTTAATCAGTCTTTTGAGGCTTTATTTCCTGGCACAGGGACCCTGGGTTGCACAGTCTGTCTCACTTCCCAGTTATCTACATGCAAATGTGGGACCACTGCCAGGTCAGCCTGCTGCCTTGCTCACAGTGCCTCGCTTCACACTTGCCCCCTCACTGGGCCTGCCCATTGCCACCCCCGTGCCCAGGGTCTTCCAACTGCTGCCTGTGTGCCCAGGGTCTTCCTGGTGCTGTCTTGCGCACCTGGGGTGCCTTGCGCGCCTGGTGTCACCACTTCTTGTGCCGCGACCCCTCTCCACTTGGCCTCCCGACTCCGCCCTGCCTACCGGTCTGGATGAATGTGTCTATTTCAGCTCCTTGGTTGTCCGACTTTCATAGAGTTCAATTTTCTGTCAGTTCAGGTTGTTATTTTGTTTCTAAATTATTGTTGTCCTTATTTTGGTCATGCAAGGAGGCACAGTGTGTCTACCTATGCCTCCATCTTGGTTGGAAGTGCTTAATTTCTTTAAGTTAAATAAACAGAGTTCTTTTTATTCAATTCTGGAGACTGCACCCCAAGAGGATGCATTTGGGGATCAAATTTGTATTTCCTACAGCTGACGCATTTATATATAAGACGTCATGTTTACATACAGGGCAAACGCAAACATAAACACAAAGAAGAAAATCTAGCTCCTGCAGGACAGAAACTACAGGGTGTTGGACACCACGATCCCATAATCTCTGCCACCAAAAATACTGTCAGTGACCCAGAGTTGCCTAGCAACCAGACAACCAGACCAGAGATGGTCACCTGAGGGTGTCTTGGATTGCTCTGCGGGAGTTCCTCAACTCTGCAGAGTTAGACCAGGTTGGGCCCTGGGTCTGGAGTCTTAGAGACAGCTCCTGCCCAAGCAACCTGAACCCTTCCAACAGCCCTACACCCCAAACTATCCTTCTGCTACCAGGGAGACCTGAGTCAGGGGGCCTTCCCCTCCTTGATTCTTGCCTCACTTGCAAGACGAGAATTCAATAGAGAGATAATATGTATAGTAGAAATAACGTAGCAAATTCATTTATGAAATACACTTGAGCAAAAAGGCTGCAAATGGGCACTCAGCCAATCTGTGTGCCCCAACTATTGGGGTTTAGGGGTTATATACCCTAGCTAGTTTCTAGGTACCTCTCCTCCCCAGTCTAGACTTTGGAATTCATATGCAGTTACAAAGGCTTTCTTTCTCAGCTAGTAAAGGCTTTCTGTCTTCGGGAAATTGCTACAAAGGCCCCCTTTCCCAGCACAGAGTCTCAAGGACTCCCCTCCTCCTGCGCTATCCCTGCTGTGATGTTACTGCACCAGGCTCAGGGCTGCTGAGCTAGTGGGCGAGACGCGTCTCCCTCCCAGTCCCTGCCTTGGCTCGCTCTCTATGCTGCCTAATACTCCCAACAATCCAACACCCAAATGGGAATAGACACACTAATTAAAGTGACTACAGGGGCAAACTGCTTCCCTGCATTCTGAAGCTCTGAATGACGCAGGTTCAGGTGTCCACTCCGCTTTGCTGTCAGGGTGAACCAGGCAGCTGCTCTTGAGGTCAGAGCCAAGTGGGAGTCTCCTATGGAATAGATCCTCTGTGCAGTGGAGATTTGGGTGAGGAAGCCCTGCGTGGGCTGTCGCAGCCACACCAGGCTGAGGGAGTCCCTTTAGAAGAACCCCATCTGAGTCACCAAATTTGTTACTGAACTCCAGGGGTGCATTCTCCTGGGATGTTTTATTCAAGAATGAGATGTGGTTGTTGTTGGGTGGTTTTATTTACTCGCAGCAAGTGAAGGAGACGCGGGGTGGGGGGGGAGGGGGGAGACACACACACACTTACAGCCAAAGATCTGCCTTCCTGAAGGGAGGCTTAGCCGCAGTTTACACACACATTTGGTAAATCACACGTTGATTTCCTCTTCGCAGTTGGCTACACTTATGCAGTTGGGTTTCTGTGAAGCTCATCCTGTTTACAGCTATGTCTGCAAAATACTGTACTGCATTTTAACAACTAGCGGAGTCTGGGTGGAGAGGGAAACCTGAGAGATGTTCGCACACATGCACACATGTATCAGGTACACACAGACCTAGCCAGGACACCTGATTTCCCCATGTCACCAATGCTGCAAACACAGGGGAGTTGGGGCAAAGGGCAGAGCCAGCCCCGGGAACCCAGGGCTTTGCCCAGGGCTCGCGCCTCTGGGACCTGGAGTCTCCCTCCCCAGTCAGTGTCAGGGTCCAGCCCTGGAACCAGGCTCCTCATGGACAGAGACACTGATGCTGTTGTCACTTAGGTCACCTTCCTAGATGGGGGTGCAGTTCTAGGCACCCAGTGGGGGCTTGGGGCACAGGAGGTACCTCCCGGGTTCTCAGCCACACCCTCCTCCCAAGCAGATTGCAGTTGTGACCTGGGCCTGTGACCTGGGCCAGGGTTGGAAGGAGGGGGAGGTGACATACGCGGGTGGAGGTGGGCTGGGAGAGGCCTAGGAGAGGGCGCAGCGGGGGTGACTTAGGCGCCCTGAAGGATTCTTCCTGGGTGGAGCCAAGGTTGCAGAGGGCCAGCCCAGGAGTAAAAGCCCAGAAACGAGGAAGGAGGAGAGGACACCCAGCAGTCCGAGGGCCCCCGCCGTTCCGGACCCTGTGGTCGCAGGCATAGTCACCTGCCACACTCTGGAGGAGCAGCCCCTTTACAGATGGGACCAGTGAGGTTCAGGAGGGTTTCTTGGCTGGCCTGGCGTCGCGCAGCAGGAAGTCACAGCACAGCTCTCTGTCCTTAGGGAGTCTGGTCTCAAGCATTCTTCAGAACCATCCCAGGTCGAGGCCAACTGAGCCCGGCAGAGACAGCTCTGGCCGTGACTGAACTCTTCCCAACTTGCCCTCCCAAGTGTCCCTGTCCCCATCCCCATCTCCAGGTCCCATGGTCTCCACCAGTGACCAGACCGGCACAGCCCCAGCTGCCCAGCGCAGGCACCCCTTCCTAACCGTCCTTTCGCAGGCCAGGGCCCGATGACCAAGCCGGTTAGGGGTCTCAGGAAGGGCCTGCGACTTTCCCGGCCCCCATTCCCACTCTCTGCCTAGCTCCAACCACAGGCCAGATGGGAGAGCCCTCTTGGAGATGTAGGGAAACTCAGGTACGGGGGCAGGTGGCCGGGGATGCACCAGGACAAGGCTTCTTGGGGCACAGACTCGCCTCTTTTTTGCCAGCACCAGGCCCAGAGCCTCCGCTCAGAAGTATATGGGGGCCACCTTTGCTCTGATGATGAACAGCGATAACAGTGGCGCCACTTCTGTGTGCAGGGCCTGTGCTAACCCTGTGACGGCCACACATCTAGGCAGTGCCCTTTGGGGAGAGGGACTGCCGTTTCTGT